GGTACAATGTTGCAAAGGATCCTGAGCTGAAAGGGTCCTCTTGGAAATTAATACTAGCTTCCAAGTTTTCAAGGACACATGGAGGAACAGAGAGGAACACCGGCTTACTTGTCCCACATTCGCCATCACTGACAAGAGCTTTACCTTGACACAGAAATACTGGGCTTTTTGGTAAGTGTGGACAGTTCTGCTCTACCACTGATAGCAGCATCGGTATCTACACAAGTTTTCACTCATTCTTTCAGGTACTCTGGTATTCTTTCATGGCTCTTTTTTCCAAGAAAGAAATGAAGTTCAGGAAGGTTCATTGGTTTAGAGAATACAGTTTGGTGCCACTCAAGAAAATAGACCTAAATGGCCTGCAGGGGAAGGAGCGCTGGGAAAGGGGAACAATAACGATCTATGGTTCCTCATCAATATATTCTAGTGTCTTCATAAATGGCTAGTGAGTTAAGTATTGTCATGTCCACTTTACAGAAATGGAAAATGAAACTCAAATAAGATAACCTGCCCAAGCTAACCCATTTCCAAGTAGCAGAATTGAGATCTGAATCCAAGTAGCAGTTCTCTTCCCAATGTCATGGTCCTCATTAGTCTCACACTTCAAATTAATTAATGTTCAAGTTCCCACAGAAAGGTGGCATAGTCATGATTATTTGGAATTGCTCAAATAATGTGAGCTCTTCCAAAAATCTCTGAAATGTCATTCTTGTTTAGTTTAAAAGGTAAACAGGTATTTAAGTGTATACAAATTTGGGGCGGGCAGGTGGCTTGGTGGTTAAGGGTGCTGGGCTCCCACATGGCCAATTGTGGTTCAAGTCCTGGGCATGGCAGCTTGCTTTCTCACTTTCCCTCTCTCTCTCTCTCTATCCCCCTTACTCTGTCCTTCTTTGGTCAAATTAAAATAAATAAATGAGCAAATAAGGTTAAATGATTATTTTCTTAAAAAGTACATACAGGGACCAGCAGTTGGTGTAATGGCTATGTCGCTGGACTCCCATGTAGTCGACCATGGTTCGAATCCTGGACCCGGTGGCTTGAACTCACGCAGGACACATGTCCAAGATCCTGAGAAGAGAACAGAGGAGAAGGGATTGTGGTGTGGCCATCCCCTTTGGGGGGTGATTTCCCACTTTCTCTCTCTCTCTTTCTGGAGAGTGCATGTGCCCTGTAGCAAAAACCTCTCCAAAAAAAGAAAAAAAAAGGACATAGAAATTTAGCAGAATTGAGCAGAAGACTTAAATATTTTAAAAAAGATGCAGAAAAACAAAAACAAAAAACAGCCTGTGGAAGGGGGAAAAAAAAGATCTAGCATCAATACAATTTTATTTCACTTAAAATAGTCCCTAAAACAATTCAGTGAAATGGAAATCTGACATCAGGCATATGATTTATCCAAAATGAAGAAGGAATGAGAATTGAACTAGGTAAAATGTATCCTAGAAATGCCAGCAAATTTGTCCAGGAAGGCAATCATCAAAAAGCATTACTGGAGGCCACCAAGTTGCATGGTGGCTAAGGTACTGGATTCCCACATGGCTGACAGCAGTTTGAGTCCTGGACCCCACAGCCTGAGAAACATGCCATCCCCATGTGTATGCATGCCCAAAATCCTGAGAGGAGAATGAAAGACAAGAAATTATTTTTCACTCTCTTTCTTTCTCTTTCTCTCTCTCTCTCTCCCTCCCTCCCTCCCTCTCTCTCTCTCTCTCTCCCCTTCTCCCCTTTCTGGTGATGGTGAGCACACACGCCCTATGGCAAAAAACTAAAAAAAATAAATAAATAAGGAACCAGCAGATGGTATAATGGCTATGTCGCTGGACTCCCATGTAGTTGACCTCAGTCTGAGTTCCAGACCCGGTGCTTAAACTCACGCCGGGCACATGCATGCGTGCCCAAGATCCCAAGAGGAGAATGGAGGAGAAAGGACTGCGGCAAGACCACGTCCCCTGGGGGAGTGATTTCTTGCTTTCTGTCTCTCTATCTCTGTCTTTCTGGCAAGCACATGCGCCCTATAGCAAAAACCTCTCCAAAAAAATAAATAAATAAACAAAAATTTAAAATAAATAAATAAAGCATAACAGGACTTTTTATTTAAAAAAAAAAAAAAAGGCTTTACTGTAACTTGCTATATTTCCTTAGATCTGACAATCAGTACAAAAGCTAAGTGATTGGGTTGTTGGGAAAGTCATGACATGTTTTTGCATAAAAATATTTTTAAAATCATGATTTCCCCAACAACCTAAAAGAATATGTGCTTCTAGTACTGACCACACTTTTCTGTATAAGGAATTCAAGCCAAACAAAATAACAGGCAAACTTTTAACATACTTGATTGTGGTAAAAGCGGAGCACACCCATCACTAGCTCTATACTATTGATAGTTACATTTTCCACAAAGAAGAGGGAATGAGAATGACACCAAGAAGAGAAACTAAGGGACCAGCAGGTGGCATGGTGGTTAAGGCGCTGGACACTCCCACATGGCCGACCAGGGTTCAAGTCCTGAATCTGGTGGCTTGCTTTCTCACTTCCTCTCTCTCTCATTCTCACCCTCTGTCTCTCTCTGCTCAAACTAAAAAAAAAATGAATAAATAAAATAAATAATTTTAAAAAGAGAAGGTAAAACACAAAGCAACTACAATGTTACTCAAAAGAATGTATGTTTTCCCTATGTCAGGAGGAGCAGTGGCCCTAAATACAGCCCATGTCCCAACAAAATATCAGTAGAACCTCCAACCTTGACAACTCTCCACACTATTACATAGCAGTCACCCCTCTGATAAACGCACACAGTTCCAACATCTCTGACAAGCAGTCATTCCTCCTTACTAACCTACAGTGACAGGGAACTCGGCACACCAAGGTCCTTCTAGTGTGCCTTAGGCTTTCCGAGCCCATTAATTCCAGACCCTAAGGCATATTCTCACCACTCAAGGAGAGGTCTGCAGGACAGGTCTCCCCACAGGGCTTGTCAATCCAATTGTGCGTCTATCTCCACCATTCCTAGAACCTCTACCCCTGAGCAGGACCCAAAATCAGTGCAGTGCTAATAAATCAGTGATTTCAAACTGAGGAAGGGCCTTTCAAAACCAAAACTATAATCTTCATACCACAATTCCATAAAAAGAACCTCAGGAACAGCTTAGGTCAAATGGGAATATGGAGAGGGAGACCGGCCTGTTTCTCTTTGTCTCATTTCAACCTGTGAAGCTCCCACTTGGATCTGCTCTTATAAAGAGGCTCAAAGTCATTTTGTTTTTAATTATCTTCTGTTGTGGGGGGTGAGGAAGGGACCATTTAAAAGTAAATTAATTGAGTTCATAAAATTAGCTTAAAAACATTATATTGCTAGTAGTTACAGGGTTTAACACAATGACCAGGTCTCCTGGCTCCTCTCTGGTGCTTCCTCTACCACATAACATCCGAATGCCTACAGCGCAAAGTTCAAATTCCACGGAGCAATATATGAGGCCCTTTAAGATCCCCTGCTACTCCAGTGCAATTGTCCTGAGTGTCCCCATTCCAGCCATGTTCAAATGTTCATGGGGCCCACTTACATCAGACTGTTACCTATGCTCACACCACAGAAGACGCAAATACACACAGCTTTGTCAGCACTGTGACAGGAAGCAAAGAACTGTGGGAAGTTTCCCATGCATTCATTCATATTATTCTTAGTCTAAGATGTTCTTCCCCATCATCTTGTCTGCTCTGCATCCAACTGCCCTACTTTCAAGATTTGTTTCAAGCATCATTGCCTCTATAAAGCCCTTCCCGACTCTCAGAAAAACTGACTACATTCTCCTTTGTGTCCTGCACAACTTCTGCAAGCCCTTATGGAACTTATTTTGTATGTGTGTGCGCATGTGTGTATGTCTGCCTGTCTCTCACCACTCCATTTGCATTGTGTTACTCTAACACAGCACTGGTCAGAATGCAGGTGCTTAACAGATCTTCACCGAGGGACTGAGTATATTCGGTCCAATCCCCCACCTCGTGTTTGAATGTTCCCTGCAACCTCCTCCATTCATGCCTACATACACTCCTTGAAAATATCCAAGTGCCTAGAAGTGCCAGGCATTGGACTGTCTGCCAAGCAGATGTAGATTTAATGGGGAAATAATGAAGCTTAAGTTTCAGGTCCCTTCACTTACACTTTCCAAAGTTCTGAACCTTTTTTGTGATTTTGTATTTTTACTTCTTAAAGATAGCACAAAGCTATATAAGTTTCAGGCCTCACAAAAACTAGATTCACTCCTGACGCCAGCCGATACAAAAGTTCACAAGGTAAACATTCTCTCTTCCTTTAGGCAGTTTTCTGTTCAGGGGAGGAAACAGCTAACTATCTGTTCATTCACTCACTTCAAGCCGCGAACATTTACTAAGCAATGGGATGAGTCACGAATCCTAAGAGGAAAGCCAGGACTGTTCCTGCCCTTAAGGAAAAGGCTCCTCCTCTCTGCAGAGGAGATGAAGGAGTAGGCTGCGTTCAGGAAACAAATAGTTTAAATGACTGTAACGCACGAGTGTAAACAGTTATCCTAAAGCAGTCTCAAGACAAAGGGAAAAGACAATGCAGTTGACTTGTTTGTAATCGCAATGACAGGGACCAATGAACAGAAGAGGCAAACGCGGCGTGGAGGGTGCCGCGCTAGGAAGCAGAGCACTGTGGGAGGCTTCCCCTGCGATTAAGTGTGCGGAGGCCGCGAGCTCATTACCTCACACAGCCCGTGAACCTGCAGACAGAGATATCCGAAGGCTTCCTCGGCCCCTGGAGAAATCTGCTTCCTAGAGTACCCCGATAAGCGTCTCCCTTCCTCAAAATAAGGCTGTTTCTTTGCCAAGACAGCTGCCGGCAGAGGCCAACAGGCCTGGCCCCCCCCCCCCCCCCTCCTTCACACAATGCTAAATGGACGGGCTCTGCTTAAGTGTCTGAGGTCTTTATCACCGGTCCGCACCCCCTCGCTAATCCTCCGTTTCCATAGCAACCAGCTCACCACTTCGCGGGCCCGGTTGGAGAAGTCGCCCTTGGGCCGAGAGCTCCGGCGGAACAGATCATCGCTGCTGCCCTCCACCCCGCCGCCCCCTGCCACTCCCAGCGCCTTGTTCCGCGTCTTCACAGTCTTGACGCTGGCTCGAAACAACAACGTGATGTCCACCGCCATAGCGACCTGCACCTGCGGCCCTACACCCGGCCTGTCCACGTCAGCAGCCGGCGACAGCGGCGCAAACCCGGCCGCGGGAGGACTGGTCCATGTCGGCACGCCTCCGCCCGGCAACTGCGACCCGGAAGCAACGTTCCGGCCTCGGCCCGGCTTCGGCGGTGACAGCAGAAAGGTTCCGCCTGAGCTGGCGCTAACGGCGGGGTCCCCGCGCGAGGGGCACCGCGCCTTGACGCCACTCCAGCCCTTCCTCTTCCCTGCAAACCTCGGCAGTCTACCAGCCGAGCCCCAGCGTGCGGCTTCGGGACGTGTGAGCTCCTGGAGCAAGAGGATCGGGTGACCGAAGGCTCGTTCCTTTATCGTGGCTCCGGGCGCCTTGGTGGCGGGCGATCAAGCCTACTACCTTTGACCCTTGACTTCCAGGATTCACCTTGAGCGGGACAGAGGCACGTGGACCACTGGGTATTTTAAGTGTTAAGGACGAAGCAGGTGTTCAGGGCACAGGGCTAGAGGCCAGAGGCCGCCGACCCAGATCTCCAGCAACTCAGTAACATGAAGCAGGCACCGTCCTCGGAGTTCCTTGTGAGAATTCAACGAGGCGACTGTGTAAAGTTTTGACGCTGTGTGGCCCCTTGTAAGTGGCCAATTAATGGTAGTTACTGTTGTTAACAATATTATCACTCTTATCGCGGTGGGGAAGATCTTATATAGGGAAAGTATTATTACGTGAGCAGAGATTTAAGTGATGAATAAGAGTTTATAACATGGAGACCAAGGTGAAAGGTTCGCATGAAGTTAAGTTCTGTTCACCCTTAAGGTGCTGTTTTCAAAAGTACCATCCCAAGTCGTAATTATTTAAATTGACTGCAAGTTAGCCAATAGCATTTTGGGTTCATGGCTCAGTTTTAAAGAGTTCATTTGTTTCATCGAGTTTCTTACTCTCTTCTTTTTGAAGGGGATGCACAACTAGAATGTGTATTAAAACCATGGTTTTAATCATCAGCAAGATAAAACGATTTTCGTAATAATTGTAAGATGCCGTTTGCCCTTTCACTTTCACTTTCTCTTGAGTTGTATACAGTGAGCTTTCCAGAGACTTGTGATACTGCAACAGAGTAAATGCAGAGCAGTGGTCTTCTATTAAGACTGATCTTAGAGAAATCTGCAAAACACATAAAAATGCTATTCTGACCAAGGTTTATTTTGTTTTGAAAAATATGTATTTTTATGAGAAGGTATTTATGTTAATATGCGATGAATTTTTGTTACATATAGATGAGTAAGTTTTTGTTTTAATTTCTAATGTGTTAAATATCGGTAGACAAAGTTTGGACTGGGGCCGTCAATAGTGTTGAATGGTGTAGAGCAGTTCTGAGACCAAGAGTTGAAGAACCACTGTTAAAGAAAGACTGCCTGAGGGCTACGGGTTAGGGGCTCAGGAAAAAACATTTAGCAGACCCATGAATGCATGTGAACAAGGCAGATGGATGATGAAATGGTGTACCACAACAAAGTAAAAAAAATAAAGGAGGGAAGTGTTGCCAATCATTTATATGTATCATATTTTGCTATCTATGTATATTTAAAAAGTAGAAGGAAAATCAAAGGTGCACAACAATGTGATGTTCTTTGTTGAAGATGATGTATATTGTAATATCTTTGATTTAATTAACACACACTGCATGCATGCTTTGAAAAACGACGTTGTACCCCCCCACAAAGATGTCCAGTTAAATGTAAATAAAAATTACGAGAATAAAATTTTTTTTAAAAAGAAAGCTTATCAGAAATAGATGCCAGTAAAGTATTTATGTACCAGAAAGAAGGAAGCATTTTATTTAAAAGCCAAGCTGTAGTTTCACTTCATCCTTCCCTAGGAGGACAATATTTTTCCATAAAGCTTTCTCCCACCTACAGAGGAAGAAAGAGAAATTACTGACTCTCTGCCAAGGATTCTGTCTTGCATAAATAGCCCTTTGTTTTATGGAAACATTAATGAGTCTTTGGCTATGCAAAGGTAAGCCTGGGGCAGTGGGAAGAGAGTTAAATCACTCTGCATAATAAAGAGAGGGAGATTGAATTGGGGGTGGGAGGAGCCAGGATCCAGGGAGAGGGCCAAGAAAGTAGGCAGTTGGGAAGGGTTTTGGGGTGGGAGAAAGCTGAGCCTCCACCAAATCTTAAGTGAATGAGTGGTTCCTTGTGTGAGTAGGGTGATGCAGCTGGTTTTGAGGAGCAGGAAGGTAGAGACAAGGGTGTAAGTTTTCTGCCTGGATCTAGATCTTCTCTGCAAAAGAAGATTGTGGAGCAATGAGAACCAAGTGAGCTTAAAACATCAGCCGGGCCCAGATTAGTGCCATAGTGGCAGTGTTGTGCTCTGCATGGTGGAGACCATATGGGAAATCAGTGTTCGGTTTCCTGGTGGACCTGTGGAAGCCCACCAGGCAGACACATATGAGTGTGCCCATGATCTGGGTTGGCTGAGAGGGCTGGAGGGAGGATGGCAGTACAAGACAGTGAAGGATGCTTGTCTTTCTGCCTCCCCACTCCCTCAAATAATAAGCTTTTCTTTTTTTTTTTTTTTTTTTTTTTTGGTTTTGCTTTTGGGCTTCCCGGAGCTAGCGACTCGCGCTTTGCAGCCCTTCCTCTTCCCTGCAAACCTCGGCAGTCTACCAGCCGAGCCCCAGCGTGCGGCTTCGGGACGTGTGAGCTCCTGGAGCAAGAGGATCGGGTGACCGAAGGCTCGTTCCTTTATCGTGGCTCCGGGCGACTTGGTGGCGGGCGATCAAGCCTACTATCTTTGACCCTTGACTTCCAGGATTCACCTTGAGCGGGACAGAGGCACGTGGACCACTGGGTATTTTAAGTGTTAAGGACGAAGCAGGTGTTCAGGGCACAGGGCTAGAGGCCAGAGGCCGCCGACCCAGATCTCCAGCAACTCAGTAACATGAAGCAGGCACCGTCCTCGGAGTTCCTTGTGAGAATTCAACGAGGCGACTGTGTAAAGTTTTGACGCTGTGTGGCCCCTTGTAAGTGGCCAATTAATGGTAGTTACTGTTGTTAACAATATTATCACTCTTATCGCGGTGGGGAAGATCTTATATAGGGAAAGTATTATTACGTGAGCAGAGATTTAAGTGATGAATAAGAGTTTATAACATGGAGACCAAGGTGAAAGGTTCGCATGAAGTTAAGTTCTGTTCACCCTTAAGGTGCTGTTTTCAAAAGTACCATCCCAAGTCGTAATTATTTAAATTGACTGCAAGTTAGCCAATAGCATTTTGGGTTCATGGCTCAGTTTTAAAGAGTTCATTTGTTTCATCGAGTTTCTTACTCTCTTCTTTTTGAAGGGGATGCACAACTAGAATGTGTATTAAAACCATGGTTTTAATCATCAGCAAGATAAAACGATTTTCGTAATAATTGTAAGATGCCGTTTGCCCTTTCACTTTCACTTTCTCTTGAGTTGTATACAGTGAGCTTTCCAGAGACTTGTGATACTGCAACAGAGTAAATGCAGAGCAGTGGTCTTCTATTAAGACTGATCTTAGAGAAATCTGCAAAACACATAAAAATGCTATTCTGACCAAGGTTTATTTTGTTTTGAAAAATATGTATTTTTATGAGAAGGTATTTATGTTAATATGCGATGAATTTTTGTTACATGTACTTGAGTAAGTCTTTGTTTTAATTTCTAATGTGTTAAATATCGGTAGACAAAGTTTGGACTGGGGCCGTCAATAGTGTTGAATGGTGTAGAGCAGTTCTGAGACCAAGAGTTGAAGAACCACTGTTAAAGAAAGACTGCCTGAGGGCTACGGGTTAGGGGCTCAGGAAAAAACATTTAGCAGACCCATGAATGCATGTGAACAAGGCAGATGGATGATGAAATGGTGTACCACAACAAAGTAAAAAAAAAAAAAGGGAGGGAAGTGTTGCCAATCATTTATATGTATCATATTTTGCTATCTATGTATATTTAAAAAGTAGAAGGAAAATCAAAGGTGCACAACAATGTGATGTTCTTTGTTGAAGATGATGTATATTGTAATATCTTTGATTTAATTAACACACACTGCATGCATGCTTTGAAAAACGACGTTGTACCCCCCCACAAAGATGTCCAGTTAAATGTAAATAAAAATTACGAGAATAAAATTTTTTTTAAAAAGAAAGCTTATCAGAAATAGATGCCAGTAAAGTATTTATGTACCAGAAAGAAGGAAGCATTTTATTTAAAAGCCAAGCTGTAGTTTCACTTCATCCTTCCCTAGGAGGACAATATTTTTCCATAAAGCTTTCTCCCACCTACAGAGGAAGAAAGAGAAATTACTGACTCTCTGCCAAGGATTCTGTCTTGCATAAATAGCCCTTTGTTTTATGGAAACATTAATGAGTCTTTGGCTATGCAAAGGTAAGCCTGGGGCAGTGGGAAGAGAGTTAAATCACTCTGCATAATAAAGAGAGGGAGATTGAATTGGGGGTGGGAGGAGCCAGGATCCAGGGAGAGGGCCAAGAAAGTAGGCAGTTGGGAAGGGTTTTGGGGTGGGAGAAAGCTGAGCCTCCACCAAATCTTAAGTGAATGAGTGGTTCCTTGTGTGAGTAGGGTGATGCAGCTGGTTTTGAGGAGCAGGAAGGTAGAGACAAGGGTGTAAGTTTTCTGCCTGGATCTAGATCTTCTCTGCAAAAGAAGATTGTGGAGCAATGAGAACCAAGTGAGCTTAAAACATCAGCCGGGCCCAGATTAGTGCCATAGTGGCAGTGTTGTGCTCTGCATGGTGGAGACCATATGGGAAATCAGTGTTCGGTTTCCTGGTGGACCTGTGGAAGCCCACCAGGCAGACACATATGAGTGTGCCCATGATCTGGGTTGGCTGAGAGGGCTGGAGGGAGGATGGCAGTACAAGACAGTGAAGGATGCTTGTCTTTCTGCCTCCCCACTCCCTCAAATAATAAGCTTTTCTTTTTTTTTTTTTTTTTTTTTCGGTTTTGCTATAGGGTGGCTTACTGGGAGAGAGAAAGACGAAAAGACAGAGAAAGGGAAAGTTAGAAACCACTTGGAGAAAGGAGGGGCCATGCCACAATCCCTTCTCCATTCTCCTCTGGTATTTTGTTGTTATTGGGGAAGGACATGCACATACACATTCCTAATGGGTTCCTCAAGCCGCAGGTCCTGGGACTCAAACTGCAAAATCAGCCATGTGAGATCTAGCCGCCTTAATCACACCACACACCACCTGCTGGCTCAATAATAAATTTTTTTTTTTTTAGAGAAAGATTTTTGCTATCAGATACAAACACCAGAAAGACAGATGGAAAATAAGCAATCACCCCCCCCTCAGGAGAGATGCAATCCCTTCTCCTCCAATCTTTTCTTGTGATTTTGGGTGCGCATGCGCACGGGTCTCACAAATTTTTAAGCCACTGGGTTTGGGACTTGAACCACAGTTGACTATGTGGGAGTCCATCAAATGTAACCATTAGACCCTCTGCTGGTCTCAATAAATAAACTTTTTAAAAATCAGCCTGTATGGGCCCAGCAGATGGCATGGTGGTTAAGGTGCTGGATGCCACCTGGCTGACCATAGTTCCTGTCCCAGACCTAGAAGCTTACTTTCTCTCTCTCAATCTCTCTCTCTCTCTCATGTATTAAAATAATAATAATAAATTAATTATTTTTTAAAATCAAGCTATAAAGCCACAAGTGATCATGAGTACATAAGACTCCTAAAAGAGTCACAAGTCTTGAGGCCAGCAGGTGGTATGATGGTTAAGGGCACTGGGCTTCTACTTGGGTGACTACAATCCAAGTCTGGACCTGGTGACTTGCTCTCTCACTTTCTCGCTCTCTCGCTCTGTCCCTCTCTGGTCAAATTTAAATAAATAAATAAAGTTAAATAAAGTAACTCTTTAAAAAAATGTTTAACAAAAGAAAAAATGTCACAAATATCTTAAGAAAGCTGCTGGACTTCATGCAGACCGTGGACTATGGGGTTATGCTTTTTTATTTTGCTTCTTTTTGCTCTTTTAAACTCGAACAGCAAAGTGACTTCAGTGGACCGCGAACTAATAACCATATGAGAGAGGAAGTGAAAACAAAGGGAGAACAGAAATGTCGTGGGACTGTACTACAAACTGCCCAGCTGGAAATAGTACACAAAGTATGTTTTCTTTAATTACTCAACAAACTGTTGGGCAAACACTGTTTGAAAAATATATCGGACTCTGGGACCAGCAGTTGGCGTAATGGCTATGTTGCTGGACTCCCACATAGCCGACCGTGGTTCGCGCCCTGGACCCGGTGGCTTAAAACTCACGCCAGGTGCGTGTGCGTGCGTGCCCAAGATCCCAAGAGGAGAATGGAGGAGAAGGGATTGCAGTGTGGCCATCTCCCCTGGGGGGTGATTTCTCGCTTTCTATCTCTCTGTCTCTCTGTCTGTCTGGCGAGCATATGCGCCCTATAGCAAAAACCTCTCCAAAAAAAAAAAAAAATTAAAAAATATATCAGACTCCCCAAATGTAGCTGCCTTCAACAGCAAACCCCACACAGGCAGGGTAGACGGGGGACCAGTTGGAGAGACTGTTAGAAGGTTAGAGTGACAGAAACCTTGGGAGACTACCTTGAAGAGAATGAATGTTCCTGGAAGACTAGGAGAAGGGAGGGATACCCAAGTCTCATTTCCAGCTTTTCTGTTCAGAAGCTATTTAAATGCAGAAGGTGGGAAGAGCTTATTTGGAGGTTCTGGCAACAGTTTGAGGCCTCTGGAGTGTCCACATCCAAAGAGTGGTCTTTCTCAATCCGGAAAGGCATTCCACTTTGAGCAATTCAAGTAAGGGCAGAGAGGAAGGGGGGACACTTTCCCACATAGCCAGATCTGCCCTGGGGGTCAGTGAGTGGCAAAGTGCCACAGGACCCTGTGGGTAGGGAGCAAGTTTATCTCAAGGAAGCAGCAAGTGGGAAGAGAACAAAGGAGGCACTTGACAGGAATCTCAGCACAAGGACAAACAGGTCCCTGCCTTCAGGATTCCGTCCTGGGCCCACGTGCATGGATTTCTAGAGGTGAGGTTAGAAAGAGCAAAGCTGGTAGGGCATTGCCTATGATTTGAACTTTTACCCGTCATGTCTCAGGTAATTGGCATGAAAAGCTTAGACATACTCAGAAAACTATCTTAGTTGTCCCTCTGTTGTGATATGGGAAGACAAGGGGTGTGTGGGGGGAGAGACACAAGAGTTAACTAGCTGGTTCTCAGTTTGTGTTGTCTCCTGGCCTTGAAAGGTCTCCTTCTCATCCCCCAGGAGACTCCTGTTGTCATCTTCTACAAACAAATCCTCAGGAGTAGTAAGCCCAGTGAGGGCAGGAGCTCTGAGGGTGATGTGCACGTGGGTTTGGAAAACCCGAGTCCAACTTTAAAGATGGCGAGCTCTCAGAATTAAGACCACTCGGGACCAGCAGTTGGCGTAATGTCTATGTTGCCGGACTCCCATGTAGTTGACTGTGGTTCAAGTCCCAGAACCAGGGGCTTAAACCACGCCGGGCACGTGTGTGTGCGTGCGTGCCCAAGATCCCGAGAGGAGAATGGAGGAAAAGGGATTGTGGCGTGGCCATCCCCCCTGGGGGGTGATTTCTCGCCTTCTATCTCTCTGTCTCTCTCTGTCTTTCTGGTGAGCCCACGTGCCTTATAGCAAACACCTCTCAAAAAAAAAAAAATTTAGACCACCCAATCAGCATCCTCCTACTCTCACTGCAGGATGGCCCTCTGTTCCACAAATGTTGAAGCTGAGAGTCACGATTTGGGAGCTCCAAGCCTAGACAGCAGGAAAGGCAGGCTGGAAGGCTGCTGAGCATTGCTATCCCCGCAAGGGCTACACAGAAGTACACCTGCAAGTGAGAGACTTCGGAAGGGAGAAGCAGAGACCAGCAGTTAGCATAATGGCTATGTTGCTGGACTCCCATGTAGTCGATTACGGTTTGAGTCCTGGACCCAGTGT